CCTCTCAGGAGCACCTGTGGGTCTGCAGCCCAGCGTTAAACCTTCTTGTCCCCAAATCGCTTCTTATGCTTGAATATATATATTTTTTCTCTCTTGTTTTTCTTCCGTTTTGACAATTTATGGATATAATACATAAATTGGAACAAATTAGGAAAAGAGGAGAACTGCCTCCATCCTCAGATGAGCAATTTCACAAAACCTGCCCTGAAGTCAGATCAGTTAACATGAGAGACTGGATCTGGGAGGCCCCTGTCACTAACAAGAGAAGACTGTGCACCCCCACTTCCGCTCGCTCACTCGTGTCCTCTAGTGGAGGCAGCTGCTGCAAGATGGCAAGTAAAGGGGATCCATGCACACTTGCTGGGAGAGAAGACGCCAGCTGCCCTTGTAAGCAACAACAGTGCAAACGGAGTACACACAGAGCTAAGCACACCGGCTTGGCATTCAGGAAGGGAGTGAGCTCCAGGTCATGAGTCACCTGTGGCTGGATGTGGTCTAGGGTTTGAGTAGGAAACAGCACAAAGTGGCAGCCGAGTTCTGTGCATTTATTTTGATGGTGCTGGCATGGATGCATTTGTTTGCCCAAATCTGCTAGACTTAACATTTAAATGGCGTGTTTTACAGAATGTAGACTGCACGCCTCTCAGTGCCCGGCAGCCAGGGCCACACCAGCAGCAGCTGGTTGGGCTGGCTCTGTTGTTCATTGCAGTGCCACCCAGCAAAAGCTCCAGTGCCAGAAATTGGTTACATCTTGTGGAGTCATTGGCCAAAAAGGTCCCATGGGTACTCTCCCAAACATCACAGGCTATTATGAAGGCTATTGGTTGCTTTCCACAACCTGATGGTAAGACTACTGAAGAGAGCATTTACTTATGTCATTGAACATAGGAAAGTCAAGCTGGTGTCAAACTAGAAGCTTCCCCCTACTTCCTAGCATTCATTGTGTGAAGGTACTCTACTGCATGTTACTCAGTCCTCTGTTCCCTGCTCCTTCCCAAGCCCTGACATCCTTCAGCCTTTTGCTTCTAAGGATGACTGTGGCTGATTCTCCACACAAGCTCCTTTGTTCCTTTGTCATGTGTATCTGGTGCCACCTCGTGGACAGAAAGCATAAAGCCCAATCCAAAAGCTGTTTCCTCATTTGTTGCCTTGAGTCTGGGTGTGGAGAAACCAATGTCACCAAGTTTTGTGGGCTTGGATCACTCTTGCATCCCATGCAGAGCTGCTGATTCCAGAGAGAGACACGGATGTTGAGCTCAGTGTCATACTCAGGTGCTTCCCAACAGCCTGAGTTTCTGCCATCTCTGCACACTATCTCCTGCTTTTGGGCAAATCATGCTGAGCTGAACCGACATGGTCATCAGAGGCCTCAGAGCGTCAAGAACCTAGGTGGTTTGGGGACCTGAACTAACAATCAGTATGTCTGAGGCAGACGGTGACTAAGCCCAATACCAGTTCCTTCCTGTCCACCCACAGGCTCATGTGTTTGAACACTGGGTTCCCAGCTACTTATGCTGTTTTGGGAGACCATGGAGCCCTACAGACATGGGCACAGCTGGCAGATGTAGGCCACTGGCTTTTTATCCCGGCTCTGCTGCCATGATGCCCAGCTTCTCCAAGTTCCCTCTACCACAAGTTGAGCTACAATGGCCCCATATCTTCCTGTACCCGGAAAGGACTGCATCCCTCGGTGAGACAGATGAGAACCCCTCCCTTGGGATGCTTCACTTTGTTCACAGTGACAAAGTATTGAATATCTACACCCTCTGATTTTAGGATCAGGAAAATTTAGAAAAGGTGCCATAGTACAGTCTCTTTACATTTCAGAAGGAGGAGGAGGAGGACAGGGAGCCGGGGGCGGGGCGTCACAGTTCCATGTTCTGGGGTTGGCATTGGGCCTTGGGTTTTGGGGGTCAGGTGGAACTCAATGGGACTGCTTTAAAGGAGACAGGGACAACTGCATCTCTTCCCACTTCCGTTCAGGTTGGAAGGATGTGTTTGTGCCTCCAGAAACTGACGGGAGTCTCCGACAGTAGCTTTTCATCTTGCCCTGGGTGAAGTATCTGAGAAGCTCAATGTGACCCTAGCTCATTGTCTGGATCTTTTCCACCTATGAGCCTTCCTTCTGGAACTGCCCTGGAGGGAGAGGATGTATTCTAAAGTGGCACACTGTCTCTCCCCTTAGCTGTCTTGACTATTGAAACTACAGACCCTCAAGAAACTGAAAATTTTCCCCCAGGGATCTCAGGCCAGGGAGATTCCAGTCGGGTAGGGAAGTTTGTCACCCCAAAAGAGCTTTCACACAGTTCTATAAACTTGTCGGGCCATCTTGCAGGGGATCCTGGAGCCCGGACATTGGTGGGCCGACGATAAGGAAGACAACATCTTGACCAGGACTCCTTAGCTAGGCATATCTCTTGCCCTGTATTGAAACCCAACCTCTTGTCAGTGCCCTGAAGACGGGCATCACAGCAGCTCTTCTCTATCTGCTCCTCTTCTCAAGGCGGCCGCAGTGATGAAGTCCCTTCCTGTGCTTTTCACTGATGTGTCTCTCTGATAGGTGTATTGAGGAAGGGTGGCTGAGTCTGGCCGGGGAACGCAGGGCCATCCTTTCCCTTTGTACCACTGTAAGTATCCATTTCCGTTCTCTCCCGTTCTCCTCCCCCTTGCTGTAAGAGCTAGTGACGTTGTCTGGGTTTTCCTTCTGATCTGCTTTGCACCTAACTCTCATGTTGTCGACAGGACAGTGCGATTGGCCGAGTTGTGGCCTCACTCACGTGCTGAGTTTAGCCCCCAGCATTTTGGCAAGCGTCCATGACTGGATGTGTGTTTTCACAGAGGCAAAGAGGGACCTCCAAGGTGGATCTAATTCAGTTTTAATGGTGTTCTTGTAAGATGTGATTAGGACACAGACAGACACAGACTAACAACCATATTAGGGCACAGAAGGAAGAAAACCCACCTAGGGAGATGGCTCAGTCAACGAGTGTTCGCTACGTGGGCACGTGGGCCTGAGTTCAAGTCTCAGCCCCCACACCATACAGAGCTGGGCACAGCGGTGCTCACCTGTATGCTCAGTGCTGGGGTAGTGGAGAGGGGATGTCTGGGGCTTGCTGGCCAGCCAAGTTAGCTGAATCAGAGTCCCAGGTTCAGTGAGAGAGACTCTGACTCAAAAAATAAGGTAGAGAGAGAATGAGAAGGACAACATTGAACTCTGGCCTCCACACATGTGTGCACACATGCATGTGAACCTACAGATACACATACACACACACAGAGAGAGAGAGAGAGAGAGAGAGAGAGAGAGAGAGAGAGAGAGAGAGAGAGAAAGAGAGAGAGAGAGGGAGAGAGAGCAAAAGAGAGAATTATCTATAAGCCATCGAGAGAAGACTATAATGATGCAAACTACTCTCACCTTGACCTTGGACCTTGTCTTGACCTTGGACCCTAAATGGCCTTTCAACATGAGCTGCAACTTCCATTCTTCCCTGGGTCTGCAGCCTGCCATGCAGAACTCAAACTTGGCAGCCTTAACTATGTCATGAGCCAATTCCTAGAAATGTCTTTATTTAGATGTATAGCCTATTGGCCTCCTCTCTATGGACAACCCTCTCTAAAAATGCATACTCCAAATTAAAGCTTGAAATCCCTCACAGTTCATGCCAAACCCACTGCCAGGTTCTCAGGGTGGCATTCGGAGGCCTCCAGACTCCAAGCACGGTTCACATTGCTTTCTTTGAATTGCTGTTTGATGAGCTTATTAACAGTAACATTTACTGAAAACCAACTAGTAATCAGAAGCCCCTCCCCCATGGTTTGGGAGTACCAGCTGGAGGTTGAAATGCAGGCTGGATTGAAGGGCAATAATTCACCTGATCTCCCTAAGGCTCAGCTTCTTTACCAATAAAGTGGAAAACATCCACTCGATGACCCTACAGGTAGCTCTGGAACAATCCCCAGCCATAGGGACGTCTCTATGATGTTGTTTTTCCACTCCTGGAGGCCTCTGACTTGTTTTTCACTGAGAAGATGGGTGGAGGGCTTTAGGGAAGGTGCAAAGCTGGCATTTTATCTAAGCCATTAGGGCCCAGTGAAAATAAAAGTGAGTGTGTCCCTGTTCAGAGTGGATTAGTGACTGGGTGTTGCTGTGATAAAACGCCATAACCAAAAGCAACCTGGGAGAGGGATGGGTTTGTTTGGATCACATCCCAGGCACAGTCTGTCATGGCAGGAACCTGGAGGCAGGAACTGAAGCAGAGGCCATGGAGGGATGCTGCTTACTGGGTCTCCAGGGTTTGCTCAGCCTGCTTTCTTATGACACCCAGGACCACCTGACTACAGTGGGCTGGGTCCTCCCACCTCAATCATTAATTAAGAAAATGCCCCACAAGCTCGCCTACAGGAAATATGATGGAGGCATCCTCTCCTTCCTTTGAATTGAGGGTCCTCTTCCCAGATGACTGGAGCTTGTGTCAAGTTAACACAATACTAACCGGCCAAGAATGATTAAGAAGTTCAAGTTGGTGGCTATGGAGCATTAGAATCAAGATGGCCATACACATGAGGGAGGCACTGTGTGTGCAGTTTGTTACTTTCCTTTTTAAAATTGAGTGAGTGTGCACACGCACGTGCGCGCGCACACACACACACACACACACACACACACACACACACACACGCATGCTCACATGGTAACCAGAGGCAAACCCTGGGTTTTAATCCTCAGGAGCCACCTGCCTTGTTTTATTACACAAGGTCTCCATTGGCCTGGAGCTTGCTAGACTAGCTGGCCAGTGAGCCCCAGGGGTTAGCCTCTCCCCACCTCCCTGTGGGACCACAAGTGCACACCACCATGACTTGCTGTTCCACAAGGTCTTGGGGGTGGAACTCAGGTCTCCACATCTACACAGCAAGCACTCATCTCCTTCATGTTTTCCTCACGGAATACAAAGTGAACCACTGTAACCACTTAAGAGTAGATCAAAGCCACCAAGCCAACAGACAAGCTATAAAAGGTTTATTAAAAAATAGACAACATATGTAAACATTTTTGTCAGCCACAGGCTTCTGAATATAGCGTATCAGCCCCCAGCTGTCAGTCTCAGCAGTGGGAGGGGAAAGCTCAGTATGGATTAACAGGAACCAGATTAAATGATCCCTCAGTTTGCTGAGGTCTAGCGAAAATGAACAGCCAGGTTCTGCCAGGCGTGGAGCGCGCACAGAAAACCACAGGTGTGCCCTCAGCAACCCTCAGCGCAGGTAACCCCCAGCAACAGTGAGTCAGACTGACTCCTTATATTGAAATGGTCGCTTTTAGCGTGGCTTCATCTCTAAATTCATCAGAGTTGAACAGAACGAAGAGAAGGGAGGCTGGAACACAGAGTGAGAAAGGACACGGTGCAAAGACAAACACAGCTAACACGCCCGATTCCACCATCGCCATCACCTGCACACGCCACGGGATGCTGGGACAGGAGCAAAGCTAAGCACACCATTTCTGTATTTCCCTTCCATGCCCCGGGTATTTGTGACATCTCTTTAAATTTTAGCTTCCCTTCAAATGATTGGTTGAAAAGATGCAGCCCACTGGCCTATCCAATATGACAAATGTCGAGCAAACCACATCCCTCTCACACCATTTAATAACAACTGAGGAGAAGCAGAATCGGAGGGCAGAAAACAACACAATGGGTCGGGTGAAAGCTTGAGATTTTGCTCCAAGCATCTGAAACCTTCTGCCTAGAGCCGGCAATGAGATCTCCCTGCAGGTCACCTGCTCACAAACCTGTATATGACTCAGATGTCACGCACCTGATTTCATTCCCTTCAAATTTCTGTCATTATTTGATAAACCAAGACACAACTTTAAATAAAACACCTTTAAATAAAAAGGTTATTGATAATTTAGTTTCCTGCTGTGTGTCACACTTTAAATATTTACTGCCTGTCTCTCAAATAACTAATTCTGGTGACAGAAGGGGATTATGGTAGTCACAAGACCCAGGCAAATTCACCAAGCTCCGGAAAAGCCACCCTGTCTAAACAATGTGGCACTCTATTTGTGAAATTATGAAAGTGATGCATAAATAACTTGCAGTTGTTTCCAATCCCACCTACTATCCAAAGACACTTTTTATTTTTATTTTTTATTAGTAGTTTTTTCAAGACAGGGTTTCTCTGTGTAGTTTTGGTGCCTGTCCTGGAACTCGCTCTGTAGCCCAGGCTGGCCTCAAACTCACAGAGATCCACCTGGCTCTGCCTCCCGAGTGCTGGGATTAAAGGCATGCGCCACCACTGCCCAGCTCAAAGACACATTTTAGAAGTGCTTCCAGAAATCGCGGTGTCTTCCTGCCATGCCTGTTCAGCCCCACAGATGCCCAAGTTTACTCGGAGTTAAATGAAATGTAAAATGACTTGGAGTGGAAACCCGCCCTCCCAAAAAAAAGTCCTGCCATCTCCTGTGCTGGCAGTGTGGTTAGTGCTGGGAAAACTGCAGGCTCAGAGAAAAATAAAATCACACAATATGTATGTCCACAGCACATAGGCTCTTCAAACACGGCTAGCCATGGATAATTTAATTTTTAAAGACTCGGCTGCAGCGTGAAGAAATTTCACACCTTTGGCTACTAATGAAGGAAGAGACGTTTCTGCAGGGAAACCTACAGAGCAGCCTTGTGCAGGGTACAAAATGTGATGACGGCCAAACAGTAGTTCCTGATCTCAGCTGATGCTTGGCAATTACTGCTGAGCTCTGAATCTGAAACATCCTCCATGGGCTCACATTTGGTCCTCAGGTCATGGTACTGTTTGGGGAGGCTATAGAAACTGGGGAGAGAAGTTCAGTGAGGGTGCATCCTTGCCTGTTTCGGCTTGCTGTCCACCATGGTGTGAGCCACCCAACCAGGTCCTCCTCAAGGCTGAACTGATCCCTCTGAAACTGTGAACAAAATAAGTAATTCCTCCGCTTAAGGGTATTTTAGTCACGTGACACAAAAATAGCAATATAGTTATGTTCAATAAAACTTTAAAAAATTTTTTGACTTTTAATTACGTGTCTGTGCGGGGGCATGTACATGTGTGCAGCTCCTGTGGAAGCCAAGAGAGGGCATTGGATGCCCTGGAACTGAAGTCACAGGCAGTTGTGAGCCATCTGATGTGGGTGCTGGGGACTGAATTTGGGTCCTTCAACAGAGCTATATGCATGCTCAACTGTTGAGCTATCTCTCCAGGCCTCAGTCAAACTTTTATAAGGTACATTTAGTAGAACCTCCTGGAAGAGGATATCCTGTGCAATTCAGGAGTCAACTGGACATACTTTCACATTACAAGGCTACTGCTTTCTCTGGGTTTAAATAGGACTCCAGATTAACTCCAATCAACAGAACCCTTTTCCCTTCTATAAATAAATATCTTTACTTCTTAACATCACATTATTATTGCCAAGACATGAATAGCCATTTCTTGGCTTTTATTGTACAAAAAAACAAACAAACAAACAAACAAACAAACAAACAAACAAATACTCAAAAGGACAAGAGAAGAGAACAAGGATGAGGGGAGGAAGCAAAGAAGGTTGGTCCCTGCAGTTTTGCCGTGTCCCCATGGGCAGGACACCCACTAGAACGAAGCAGGGAAGCTGGCCACCATGACCCCACCTCAGCTGACTGAGCTTCTGTGCATTTCAAGTCACTGGGTAATAGCATCCAGTGGACATAATATGGACAGCCCACAGCAGTCACTGGTACACCTCAGAGTCACATCCACCACTAGCCTCATGGGTCACAAGTGTGAACCATGGCACAAAGGCACAGTGCCTCCACGTGTCCACCTCAAGTGGTAATGCTGGGAGGGTAAAGGCACTCAGGTCAGAAAGTCTTTCTTCAGGGCATAGATGGACGGTTGGCACGTCACACTCCTCACTCTACACAAGGATGTGCCACAGTCCTTGCTCTGATCGTCCACATTGGCATCCAGCAAGGAAGGTGCCTGGCACCTGCTTCTCTCCTGGGCACCAAGGAGACAGGCAAGGGCTGGTACTGCATGTTCCATGTCACAGGCCCAGACAGGTGGGGATGCTGTCCTCAACGAAGCAGTATGTGGGCTTTGTGGTGGGGCAGGGCATGCCTGACGCTTGGCCAGAGCACCTTGGGGTTTCACAGGAGAGTCCTGGCTTGCCAGCTCACTCTGAGGGCCAGGTGAGGCAGAGTGTGGTGGTCCAGAGTCTCCGTGGGCACCTGTAAGTGAAGAGAGACAGACAGACAGTGCAAAATGAAAAGACAGACTCTGAAGTTATGAGTGAAGGGAAAGATGACATCTATTCAACCAGATGACGGTTGCCTAGAGTTTCAACACTGTAGTTACACAAACCTTTCACACTGGGGTATGTTTTCTTTAGTGAAGATACGCCATTAGAACAGGAAGAGGATTTCACCCTATGGAATTCCTCCAGGCATTTCACCTGGCCTCCCCCATAGCTAGGATGTCAGACATGAGCCACCCTGTCCAATTCAAATAGCTTTCCATAGCCACAGCTTCAGAGAATACCTGTATGACGTTAATGTATCTAATCACAGCAGCACTGTGCACTTGATTTTTACCACACTCCTAACCACGGGAGAGGTGACATAAGGTTATTAGTAGATAGACATGTTACAGTGATGTACCCAAAGCCACAGACAGCCAACCTGAGCACAAACTTCTACACAGTTAACTGTGACATCACCATGACCTGTGCATGGTATGTACAAATGTGTGTGTGTGTGTGTGTGTGTGTGTGTGTGTGTGTGTGTGTGTGTGTGTGTTGTGTGCATGCGTGCACACACACAAGGGGTCAACCCCAGGCATGTCCACCTATTTTCAGAGACAGCGTCTCTCATTGACTTGGGATTCACTGACTTGGCTAGACTGGTTGGCCAGCAAACCCCAGGCATCCCGCCTGTCTCCGCCCTACCAATTCTGGGATTACAGGTCTGCACCACCTCACCCATCCTTTAGATGTGGGTTCTGGAGATGTGATCTAGGTCCTGTTATATGTACAGCAAGCATCTTACTCACAGAGTCATCTCCCCAGCCCTAGAGATGGGATCCTCACAGGTGGCTAAGTTAAAACAAGTTCACATGGGGAGGCCCCAGTGTAGTCTGACCATGGGCCTTTAAGATTCAGGCACAAACACACCCAGAAGAACCACCATGTCAGGACACAGGGAGAGGGTGTGAGCAAGCCCAGGGGAGAGCCCTAAGGAAGACCCAGCCCTGCCCACACCGTTGCCTTAAACGTGACCCTCAGCACAGTGGGAAAATGGGGTCTAGTGCTTAAGCCATTCCAGCTGCAGCCTTGTTACATACCAATCACCAATCACAGAGATGACAAGACCTCAGTCCCAACGTGTGACCAGGGAATGTCTCAGGGAGGCCTGAAGATACCTTTTGGTTAGCATTAGGGTTAGAGGGTTAGGATTAGGGATGGAGTTCGGGTTTAGACACAAGGCTTAGTGGCCAGGGTTAGGATTAGCGTTTCAAGTTAGAGGTTAGTGCTTGGGATTAGAGTTGAAGGTTATGGTTAATGCTTAGGGTTAGGGTTAGGGTTAAATGTTCAGGGTTATGGTCAAGTATTTAGGGTTAGGGTTAAATGTTCAGGGTTATGGTCAAGTGTTTAGGGCTAGGATTAAATGTTCAAGGTTATGGTCAAGTGTTTAGGGTTAGGGCTAAGTGTTTAGTGCTAGGGTGAGTGGTTTAGGGTTAGAGTTAGATGGCTGTGGTTTGGAACTGTGGTCAGCTTTTCTACCATCTACTTGCTGGGATCTGGCCTTAATGACCCATCTCTGTCCCCAGGTTGATGTGTCATTCATCACATGCTTTGTACTTACATGATCTTATAATCTGAAGTTACTAGATCCCAATCAAGCCTCTTCTCAGAATCTAAATTCTAGTAATATTTAAGATTATAACAATTAAGAATAACACTCAAGATCCACTTGAACAATATTAAGCTATTAATTGAAATCATTAGAAATAGGAAAAACTGTCCAATCCACACTTCTCTACCCTCTGTAATGCCAACTGCAATGTGACCTGACTGTTGCCACCTACCTCGAGGCAGGAATGGAGATTCTTTGGATCCCATCCATGCATGATGGCATTCTTTGTCTCCTACAGTAGCACAGGCTGGCAGCTTCTCCCCTGTCTGCTCCAGTAGGGCAGGTGACATGCCTCTCAAGACACCATAGTCATTCTTAAGTCTTGGTCCAGGGATGAGTTCGCAGCTGCTTTCTGGGGTAGCAGAACAGGGATCTGGAGTGAGCACTGTGGGACCACAAGAGATCTGAGTGCTCCCCAAAGATGGCTCCTCTTCATCAGCCTGAAGCAAGCACTTTGTGGAGAGAGAAGACTTCAAGGAAAGGCTTGTAGCACTTGGCGCCAGGAGAGAAGTGTCATCACTGGGTGCCCTGCCTGCAGATGGCTGTCTCAGAAGTGGACTGGTATTTGTTTGGCATTTAGAGACCCACTGAAGAGTGCCTTCTTGCTTCTTTCCCTCTTTGAGTGGTGGTTTTTTGGGGGCTTGGACTCCATGTAGCTTCCTGACATCCAGGCCCAAAGCCAGCGATGCCAACAGCACCCCACACTCATACAGAGCAGTCTCTGCTTTCTTCCTCAGCATGGGTGCACCCACGTTGTTCACTGGGGAACCTTTAGAGGGTTCCTCCTCCCAACTCTCAGCCTCTATGGGGTGCTCTCTCTGGCTGTCTTTACAAAGCGGCAGACCAACATAGGCCTGGCCAGGGATCTTCATCTGCTTTGGTTTTCTATGTTCCAATCCATCAGGGACAAGTTTCAGCTCTTCACAAGATCCTAAACAAAGGCACACATGTAAACACTGCAGAGCTAGGGTATAGCAAACACCACCATTTACTTGTGTACATACACACTAGAATCCATGAAGCATCAAGACATAAACACACACACACACACACACACACACACACACACACACACACACACACACACACACACACATCACCACACTAAACCAAAGCATGCAGAGGCCTTTCAGTAGGAGAACTCTGGTGTGAAGAGTCCAGACCCTGAGATGCAGGTCCCCACAGGTTGTATGGAAGTTACTGATGCTTTCTGCCCTTTGGGAAAGTGTTTCTCAACAGTATAGATGACAGAAATTAGTGTGGAGACAGAAGCATCAAGATATAAACACACATACACACACAGAGTTGCACAAAATGTACACATTTCATTGCTTCACCAAAGTGCACAGCCCTTGTCCACTGCTCACTTTGCACACCATCTGCTACACAGCACTTCAAGGATTCCCAAGTGTAGCACCCCAAACCAGCGGCAGCTAGTGGACAGTCGATACTCAAGTTCTTGTCAGACCTGGCACAAAATTGAAAGTCCTGGGGTGAAGACAGAAGGGTGCATTGTGACAGGCCTGTCCCAAAGTTGGGGCTAGTGCAATGAGGTACGAGGAGGTGAAACTCCAAAGAGGTTGGAGCACCCTGGAGGTCGTCACCAAGTGCACTGGCTAAGGAGAAGGGTGAAGCTCTCATGTGTGCAGGAGGTGACAGCAACCTCCTTGTGTTGGGCTCCAAGGTAAACCACAACAGAACTCATCTTTGTTGCCCAGAGTGGTGTTCTCTGACACCTAAACCCGCTCTCATCAAGATAGCCATCCTCTTCAAGACGGTCTCAAGACAGTCGACAGGACACTGGCTTCTATCTGCACAAGCCTGCATTTCCCATGAGCACTCGAGTTGCTCATGCAGCCCCTTTTCCTCTGCTGACTCCCCCTTCCAGCACTGCTCACCAAATCCCTTGCTTATTAAAAGGATCCCTCAGAGAAGGGGACATGCGGGTGAGCAGAGCAACCAGCACACACTCAAGGCACACACCTCCAGATTTGCTGAAACATTTTGATTTTCTCACAGTATGAAAAGGTCATCGTAAACATGTGGGTATAAAATATCAGTTCTCTTTACTACCAACCATCTTTGAAGGTTTACAATGGTTTCATCTCTTGAACTCAGTCTACACTGAATATAGCCCAGCTCACCCTTAACCAGGCCAACCCCCACGCTAAACTCACCTGGTCTATATGGTTAAGTGGGATACTGTTTTTTTCCAGTAAGATACGGAGGTATGAACTCTATCTCCCCAAACACTTGGAGCACACATCCTTAGTGCCATGAAGTCTGGATGCAAAATAGCCTCTGGACTTAAGTAAAGCTCTAAAGGGCCTGCTGTTTGCCCCTTCAGTGACCTAAAGGACCATGTGAGATGATTCAGGGCCCTCCAGAGCTAAGAACACCCCAGCACATCCTGCTTCCCGGGACACGGTTACCTGGCTGGTCCACAAACAATGAAGCCAAAGGTGTAGTTTTCTGACTTTTTATTAACAGAGACGACCAAGGACTGTTGCCATCTGAGAGAGGCCTGACCCTACGAGAGAAAGACATTTGTGTTCATATCATGTAATGGAATTGCAGAACACCCAAACGCAGTAACTTTTAGCAATATCTTTTTTTGATATGTATGTGGTATGTGTGTGTGTGTGTGTGTGTGTGTGTGTGTGTGTGTATGTATGTGTGTATGTGCACGCATGCACATGGTTGCTTGTGTGTGGTGCGTGTATGCGTGTTTGTGTGTGTACCACTGCGCCTGGGTGCACCTGCATATGAAGGACAGACGTTGATGTTGTAAGTCTTCCTCAATTGCTCTCTGTTTTTATTATATCGAGGCAGGGTCTCTCACCCATTCCGGCTAGCACAGCAAGCCTGTTTGCCCTAGAGATCTGTAGTCTCCTCCTCTTGTGGGCCTGAGATTACAGGCAGCTGCCACGCCTGCCAGCGTTTATGTGCGTGCTGGAGATGGACGCTGGTCCTCGGGCTTGCCTGACAGCACTTGACCTGCTGAGTGTCTCAGCCCAGCAGCAATATTTTTAAAGACGCAAAGGGAGTACCTTTGTGCTTTTGAACTTTGAAGACCTAACAAAGTACAAATATAATCTTTAAAATATATTTTAGATTTATTTATCTGTTTACATGCTTGAATATTTTGCCCAAATGCATGCATGCAAACCACATGCACGTCTGCCTCCCACAGTGGTCAGAAGAGGGTGATGGATCCCCTGGAACTGGAGTTAGGGGTAGTTGTGAGCCATCAAGTGGGTGCTGGGAATCAAACTCGGGTCTTCTGCAGGACTGAGCAAACTCTCCAGCCCCACCCCCAACACACACACACACACACACACACACACACACACACACACACACACACACACAAATCATGATACATAAAATGTCAGATTATTTACTGAACTAATAATCATTTCATAAAGTCCGTCCAACACACTGCAGAGCACTAAGTTACTATCCAGATGTGTCTGCATCAATCTGATCGCTTCCCAGGAGGCAGGTCTGGTAGCACCACCATGCACAACAGCACTACTACTCCAGTGCATGCCATGTGCCCCCTCTTCACACACACACACACACACACACACACACACACACACACTCACACTCACACTCACACTCACGTACCGCTCTCGGCCCTCTGGTTTCTCTTTCACTTGAATGGAGCTTGGTCCCCACGTACAACCTTTTTTCTTGAAATTCCGTTTCACATCTTCGAAGTCTTCCTGTCGGAAGACCACATTCCGCCCCCGGGGTTTATTGCTCTCCTCTGAAGTCACTACATGGAGAACCACGGTTACACACTGATTTTACTAAAAAGTCCAAGGAGCCAGTCAGGTGCCTGGCAGAAACTCATTCACACGTCTTAAAAAACTACTTTTTGTATTCATAAAAAAAAAAAAAATTTTTTTTTAAAGTCAAGAAGACTAGAAAAAGGGAATGAACTGAAAGTTTAGAGGCAGGGGATCCCCAGAAGGTCACCAGCCAACTAGTGTGGGAACCTGTCTCAGAGAAGGCAACAGGTAGGACTGGAGAGATGGCTCAGTGGTTAAGAGCACTGGCTGCTCTTCCAGAGGTCCTGAGTTCAATTCCCAGCAACCACATGGTGGCTCACAAGCATCTTTAAGTGGGACCCAATGCCCTCTTCTGGCAGAAAGGTGTACATGCAGATAGAGCACCGTACACATTAAATAAATAAATAATACTTTAACAAAGAAAGAAAGAAAAGAAAAAGAAGGCAACAGATGAGCACCCACATCTGACAATCTCCTCAGCCTCCACACACTGTGTGGCACACACATGCAGGCACTCGAACACTTGCGTGGGCACACGTTGTACACATACACAGAGTTTTTTTTTTAATTACAAACTATACATTCCTCACAAAAAACTATATGACTAGCATTGGGCATGATGATTCACCCCTTTAATCCCAGCACACAGGAGGCAGAGGAAGGTGGATCTCTGTGGGTTCAAGGCGAGCCTGGTCTACAATAAACGTAAAATAAAAGTTTTAAGACCCGTGTGGTTATCCACGTGTGTACATGGAGGTGAAGTCCATAAAGATAGACATCTGCCTTCTAGAAACAGGAGTTTTGTAAACAGCAAAATGGACCTCCTTTACATTGCTTGTAAGTGCTTGAGGCATGCTTAAATGCCTCGATTTGTTGCTTTTCTGGGGTTAGATCTGGGTCCCCGTGTGCCTCACCAAGTGCTCTACTACTGAGCAGCATCCTCAACCACTTCAGCAGAAGACAGGGGTGCTGTCTGATGTGGTAGTGTCTTTAAGATGACCTGGACTCCTGGCTCTAGGTCCCCACCGCATTGAGGCAATGTCACATTTACAGCCAAGAGCGTGAGAAACTGGCCTAAGAGCCAAGACCAACTTCTTCGTGTTTTTCATTTTGTTTCATTTTCCCTTTCCTTCAGGCGGTGTCTCCTGTAGCCCAGGCTGGACTTGAACTCATTGGATAGTTGAGACTGTCCTTGATTTCCCTCCTTCCACATCCCAAGTGTTGGGATTATAGGAGTGTGCCCTACACGAGGCCCAAAGGTCAACTGTTATTTCCAGATCTTCACACTGTCTGTTCACCATCTCCCACTCACTCAGACCCACTGTAAGAGCACGCCCACTCAGCGTGACCACGCGGCCGAGATAGCGCTGATGAGGAGGTGGGCCGCTGCATGGCGGGCGAACACTCACACTGAATAGCTCGGAGGCGGGGGAGCATCAAGGGGCTGTTGGGTGGGCTGCAGAGTCCGCTGTCTGAACTCCGGCGCTTGTCCAGGGTTGGGGAGGCCTGCACTGTGATCTTGTGCTGGAAATCTGAGGAAGAAAGAATCAGCTTTTCAGGGATTTACATCATTTCCTCACTGTCGTTTACACAGTCATAAACAAGTCATCAGACAGTAACTCTTTCAGGCACTGGCTAATTTCTGAGCGCATTTCTCAGCATGGCCCTGTGCAACGTCTCCAAGACTCAAGTCAACAGAAATGACACATTGTTCTGTTAGGCACAAGGAGGCATGTGTTCATTTCTCCCTGATCTTGACTGTGGGTATGCCAACTGCTTCCAGTTCCTGCCTTGAGTTCCCTGCACTGATGGATGGCCACCTGCTAATGGAGTCTTGAAGAAGCTACCTCTGTCGGGACATTTTACTCCAGAAACTTCATGTGCTGGAGGCCTGGGGAACAGGGCTAGACAAGCGTTAGGAATAAGTATCCAAGCCACACAACCTAGAGTGTGAGTGTCTCTTCCATAAGACACAAGTTAAACCCTGCAGGACATGTTCTGTGCGGTGGTTTGAATGATACATGTCCCCTAAAGCCCTGGGTGTTTGAATGCCTGGCCCTAAGTTGGTGGGGCCATTTGAATAGGTTAGGGGTTATGGCCTTACTGGAAAAAGTATATCACTGGGGGAGGGCTTTAAAAGTGTAAAAACTCACTTCTGCTCTCCTGTGTGTCCACTCCCTGCCCTCTCTGTCACACACACACACACACACACACACACACACACACACACACACACAGCTGCTCTCCTGTGTGTCCACTCCCTGCCCTCTCTGCCACACACACACACACACACACACACACACACACACACAGCTGCTCTCCTGTGTGTCCACTCTCCCACTCTTCCACACACATGAGCAACTGGTCTTCATTGGGCTCTGGTTCCCTCTGGCTTAGGTGCAACTTAAAATTCCCTGCTCAGAAATGTACCAACCCCTGAAGCCTGGAACCTCTTCGACTTTATATATGCTCAGAATACAACTTCAAAAGGAGCACAAAGCAGAGGGGTTTCACCCGTCACCAAGTCCAAGTTTCTGCTCCTGCCAAGCTTTTTCCCACGAATTCTGAAGAAAATACTAACAATACTAAGTATTTTCACCAAGTAGTGTGGGGATTGACAGAACACTGCAAAAATCCAAGAAATTCGGTATGTTAACCCTCTTAAGGGCTACACCCCTCAGTGAGTTTTTCTAAATCTCAGGCCATTTCACCAGCATGGGACTCAACAACTAAGAGCTTTCTGCCCGTTGAAAATGCCAGGCGCAAAAAAACCCTCTCTTGGGAAAAGAGGACAGAAATGATTGCTATTTCTTCATCACTAAAGCTGTCCTGTTCTGGGTATTGCACAAGTAAGAGTGTGTATATGCATGGGGTTCTGTGTCCACACACACAAACACACAGTAAAGGCCAAGGCTCCAAATGCCAGCTGGTGCCAATCCTGTGCCAGAATTACAGCACTGGCGCCATCTGGTGGTCATAAGAAGCTGCTGCGTGCTAAATCCTCCCTCCGTAATTGAAGTCCTTACAACAGTAGATGTTTGGATCTTCTTTGACTGAAATCTTGTATCAGGTGCCAGAAAGCGAATAAACATGTAGCTGAAATGTCCTCTTTATTTTCAGAAAGGAAAATTCTAAATACTACAATCCAGGAACTTTTGAGAATCTGGCACAAATAGTCAATTATGTCAATCTGTCTTGACTATTACTGGTTATCAGCTGAGCCAACGGCTGCCTATAGGAAGGAGGGGTGTTGTTCCATCCTCTGTCACGGAAGAGTGGGGTTCAGCTGGGCAGAGTCCATACTTTCTCCCAGTGTTGGGCCATTTCCATCCTGGTTCTATTGCTCGTTTCCCTGACCCAAGTTTGGGAAATCCTGAGAATTAACTACGGCAGCACACCTAGGACACGGCACAAATACTGAGAAAAGACAGGCTATGACGAAAGAGGGGCTATGAATTCTGATTTCTCAGTTGCCTTCTCCTTTTTATTCAGTCTGGGACTCCAGCCCACACAATAGTCATTCACAATTAGGGTATGTCTTCCCAGTTAATAAAAAAATTCCTTCAAAGACACGCCCAGTGGCTTTTCTCTCAGGTGAGTCTAGATGTGGTCACACTGGCGACTGATACTAACCACCACCCCATCTGCCCATCACCAAAAACTCAGGTGCAATGATAGTGCCCAACTTCTCTTTCAGATGACCCCAAACTCCCTACACCAGTGTATCAGGACCACGGTTGGCAAGCATGTGCACAATCACTCGTTCATTCATAAAATTATTCATTCACATTTTCAAATTCTAACCCCCTGAACTTTGCCGAGTTCTGACAGCACAAACCTGAGGGCAGGCTGATGCGGTGGCCGTCTTTGAGCCTCAGCCGGCCTCTCCTGAACTTCCCCTTTCTCTTCTTCACGTGCGGAGCCTCCTGGTTCAGCTGGAAGATGAGGACGTTCAGCTCCCGCTCCAGCACGTCGATCTCACGCTCTGCGAGCTGCTGTTCCCGGCGTCTGAGCAGCAGTTCCTGGGATTTCTGCTGCAGGGCGGCTCTGCTCAGCTCCTCCTCCCGGGATCGCAGCTCCTGCAAAGTCAGGTCCCAAAGGAGATCAACATGGGCTTCCTGTACTGCTCCTGACCCTTCACCACAAGCTCACTGCACCCAAGATGACCTGAGCTGCCGGTACCCAGCCTACTATTAACCTAGGGGAAACCACCCCCAAAGCTGGTGCCTTCTCTTCTGTTATTTCATGACAGGGAAAGGCAATGCTCACTTTCACACCTGAGGTTATCATCACTGTATCTTCGCCTCCAGCCTTTTTGAGCATCTAACACAGCTGTTCTCAACCTGTGGGTCGCAACCTCCACAGGGTTGACATCAGCTATCCTGTATATCAGATATTTACATTACGATTCATAACAGTAGTAAAATTACAGTTGTGAAGTAACAACAAAATAATGTTATGGTTGGGGGTCCCCACAACATGAGGAACTGTATTAAAGGGCCGCAGCATTAGGAAGGTTGAGAACCACTGAACTAACAAATAAATCATACATCAACATTCATCAACAAAGAACAGCTGTAAATGACCTAATTCATTCATTTATGTTTTGAGGCTCAGGCTGCCCTCAAGCTCACCAAGTTGCCCCAGATGACCTGGAATGTCTAATCCTCCTGCCTCCACCTCTTGAGGGCTGTGAATAGAAGCGTGTGCTACCAGGCTCCTGTTTATGAGGTGCTGGCATGGGACCCAGGGTTTCAAGAATGCCAGGCAAGCCTTCTACCAAGTGAGCTACATCCCTTGGCCTGTGAATGACCCATTTCAGCCTACAGTTATAAGTCAATGAGGTAAGCGGTGGTTCTCAGCCTTCCTCAAGATGCGACCTTTTAATACAGTTCCTCATGCTGTGGTGAACCCAGCCATAAAATTCTTTTCATTGCTACTTCATAACTGTAAATTTGCTACTGTTATGAATTGTCCATGTAAATATCTGTGTTTCCTGATGGCCTTAGTAGACCCCTGGGAAAGGGTCTTTTGACACCCCCTCCCTCAAGAGGTCACGACCCACAGATTGAGAACTCCTAAATTAAAGGCTAATCCTTGTAGTTACATGTTACGTATGACTATAGCTCATAATCCTTTAGGGGAAAACTGAGAATCCTGCACAGTTTTAAAGCATCTCAACGTTTCTCTAGCATGTTCTCTTCTTTATAGAGAAAAGCATTTGGGGTGGTTGTGTCTATGTAGCTCTTGCTGCTGCGACACCTAGCAGACATCAGTGCATGCAGTCCAACAGTTGCTACCCAGACACTCTGTCTCAGCAGAGCCTTGCGCCAAGCGCAGAAGATTCTTGGGTAGGGCTGTGACCTTCCAGAGCCTTGAGATAGGGGGTCAAACACTCATGGCTTTATGTGACAGACCAGTTTAAACAGCAACCACTCAAAGGGGCTCAGCCAACTAAGACACACTGTAAGGAGCCGCAGCCAGCCAGAGACCACACAGTTCACATCTCCAAGCCTTTGGACTTTTTCTAGATGGACTCGGGGGGCAGGGGGGGTCATTTGAGCCAATCTACACATATCAGAAAGAAAAGAGGAACACAGTAAACTGCTGTCCTAACAACAGAACAGAACGAAAGTGAGACCAAGAGTCCACATGACAAAGAAATGTATCCTTTGAAGCAAAAGAGTCCTCGGGCTGTGGCAGCTCCACCAAGAGGACCAGAATTCAGTTCTGAGTGCTCTGATCTTGATTTGTTTCTCTAAATAATTCACACAGACACAGCTACACATGCGACTCGCCCTGACTCACAGGCCTTTCAGCTGCTCGCCCTACCACATGCCAGCTGGCTCTGACGTACAGACGGGCCAGTATCTCCTCACTGGCACATGCCAGGAATAGACTGCTGTTTATCACTGGAAAAGAAAAAGAAATGCTGTGTAATTTTGAAAAATCTGTAGATTTTTTTTTTTTTTTAAAGATAGGGACTCATGTAGCCCTGTCTGGCCTTGAACTTCTGATTCTCCTGCCTCCGCTTCCTGTGTGTGAGGGTCACAGATGAGGGCGACCCATCCAGCTGCAAAGCAGTTCTGAGGCGAGTCCACACTGGAGATTGACTGCAGAGTACTTGAGGATAGAGGATGGTTTTAAACTCATCACAAGCATCCCCCCTTTGCTGAGACTCCCTGATTTTCAGTGGTGCTGGTGTTGGCCTCACGCTGCTGTTAACTGGGGTCAGCAATCCCTCATGCATCTTTCTAGATAAGCTGAGTAAGTAAACACTTTTATTTCTAGGTCCCTATCAAAAGGGTTCATCCCCTACAACAACTTCATGAACAACAACAACAAAAAGACTTTGTAAGGCGTTAGGGGCCATGATTGGTGGAAAAGCAGTCAAACTATGCGTCCTATTAAGTAGATTTTTAAAACTGGAAAAGCTGAGCTTGGGGTCATGGCTCAACTGGTAAAATGCCTGTCACACAAGCCCAAGGACCTGAGTTCAATCCCCAGAACCCACATGTAAAAGCCAGGCCTGAGAACACACATTTAATTACAAACAGGAGGATCCCTGGGGCTGCTAGCAGGTCATTCTGAACTGAACTGAGGAGTTCCAGATTCCAGTGAGAGACCTTGCCTCAGGAAAGCAAGGTGGAGAAAGATTGAGGAAGACAACTGAGGTTGACCTCTGACCTACAAACACACACACACACACACACACACACACACACACACACACACACACACACATAATAACAATAACATAATAATAATAATAATAATAATAATAATAATAATAATAATAAAATAAGCTTGAGAAGCATGTTGTGGAGTGGGAGGAAGACCTCTGGAGTGTTAGAACACACAGGAATACTCTGAAATCATGAAACACAAAAGCCTTCCTTCTGTCTATGTGGTTACTAGCAGGAGCATTTGCCTCAAGGCTCAGTGGGGACTTTCTGGTAATGGCAAAACCATTTTCCTGCAAGAAAGGTTAATGGTTAATGAGGACAAGCACTCTTTGAGGGCCAGTGGTGCCAGGTGCACACAGGGGACCCAGAGACAGACAGCAGTGATAAGCAGCCGGAGTGTGGGGAGGATTCACCATCTACAGAGTAATGTGGACGAGAGCCAAGGGCTGAGCATTAACTGGAGTGTGAGGCCCTCCTCCCTCAGCCAGTGGGCGGGAAAGGGAGATAGGGCACGTACAGAGGGTTTTCCACTCCTCGGGAAGATGCGATTAGAACCCTTACAGCACAAAGAGAAACACTATTGCAGATTCTCTAATCACGGATCACAAGGCCACAGGGGCCACTCGGAGGAGCAATGAGTAAGAGTCAAATACAAAGACAAAGCAGACGCCAACGGGAAAAATCCAGAAGGATAATAAGAAAACGGCTGTGCGTGGGTAGCGTGCCTGTGGTCCCAGCACTCGGGAGGCTTAGGAGACGGACTGCGGTGAGTTCACAACCAGCCTAAACTACACAGCGAGTACAGAGCGGCTTAGGATACTAAACAAGACTCTGCCACAATGGTAGGAAGAGGGAAAAAGAAGAAACTGTAAGTCTCCAGGCTGACGCCAGCACCCAGAGAAGGCTGTGACCATTCTGGAAGCATTATTTTATTATTTTACTCTACAACATGAGAATCGTCCCATTCCTGTGCTTACATCCTGCAGTTTCAAAACTGGTTATCAGCAGTTAAACAAAACACTGCCAGAACGGTTATGCAGAATAATATCACTCTCAAACTTCAGCTGCGTGATTTGAGGCCGTTTTCCCTCAAACTCTCCTGTCACTCTTTAAATTCAGTTTAGTTGTGGGTTTAAACACCTCATTTCAGGATTCTTGAAAATGAATTGGACAAGTGTACAAAAAAATAAAACTCTCAAAAATTTCCTATCATTTTAAGCCAACCAAGTATGTAAATGTTTCTAGAACTCTACAGAACACCTTGCCAAAAGGCATCCCTCCAGAAGTGGCCGCCATGCCTTCCTCTTCCAGTGGGTTTCCCTAGGCCTGGCCAGGGCAGAGTGGGAGGCTACAGGGCCCTGGGTCACAAAGCTCTGGCGTCTTTGTCCTGAGGCACATGCTTACATGGTACTTACTAAGCCGGAGGCGTGTGCTGGGCACCTCCTCACAGTTCCCACTCCCTTCTGTGACACCCCATGGGGAGGGACCCAGGGACCAAGGCCACTCGACAGCACCCAGCTGAGCCCAGAGGCAGCCAGCCTGTCTGAGCCAGAGCTCCAGGCACTCCTGGTCATTCTGCACAAGCACCCGGCATGGAGGTTGGACACCAGGCAGCAAAGCCCTCTGACCGGCAGAATCGTCCCTGAACTCAGTCTGGGGGACCAGGATGCTCGCATGAAACCTACTGCGGAACCCTTCAGACAGTAGACAGGATGCTTGCTCCTCATCTGTCCTAGAGTCCCAGGGAGGGACAATCCCTCCCTGGATATAACTTTAAGCTGACGAGTGACTTGAAATATTACGCTTGCCTTGTTACGGGTGCACATGCACAGATGTGCATCATCACACGTATAACAGAAGAATTTAAACTATTAAACACGTACACTTATCAAACAACAGCAAACCTGGATTCCTGAAAATGCTCACATGCTACAAAGATGTTTTTAAAAGAGTAGGTGCCATCACCGTGTCACAGAGCCATGCCTGAAATCTGGCTTCAAAACCTGGTAGTGACATTTAATAGGTTCTGTCACCATCCCCACGGAGACCAGGTTTGCTCAATTCACACCCCCAGCCGTCCGCCTCACACCAGCTCCCACGGCTCTCGGGAGCTGGTGAGGTCAATGCTCGGTGTGTGCCTCATTGCTGGCTTACTTTATTCCCTTCATAAAGTCTGTCGGCCGAGTACAGCCGAGCCCGTACTGAAGAGTTCAAAATGCACACATTTTCCTAATCTCCCCCACAAAGCAATGGATGGCCTTGGAGATCAGAGAGGACACATTACAAGGACCAGCATCTGAAAAACGTGACAAGACATGGCCTAGAAGAACATGGACCGAGTATGGCTCTGATTTGCCAAAGCCAACTGTGAAATGACTCCCTTGGTCCATCTGCATATGGAGCGAGCAAGGAAATGACATGACAGGGCACACCATGGTGTGCAAGGTCAGCACTGGTGCTGAGGTCCCAGCAATGCCCAACCCGAGCACCGTGGGTCACATGCAGCTGAGAACGGCTATGAACAAAGCCCGACAGGAAATAACAAACTTAAGACACTGTAAGTGGGTTTTGTGACCGGACTGTGTAGAGCGGGAACTTTGTGAGGAAGCTGTCAAAAGGTCGGGTGTGTCACAGGGCAATGACAAGGAAATTACTTCTCAAAACTTTTGCCAGTAAAAGAAACACGGAGGGCTGGAGAAATTGCATTGTGGGTAAGCCGCTTACTGGACGGTACCTGAGTTCAATCCCCAGATCCCACAAAAGGCCAGACACAGGGGCTCCTAACTCTAATCCCAACACTCTCCCAGCAAGATGGGAGATGGAGACAGGAGAATCACCTGGGAGCTCGTGGGCCAGCCAGCTTGGGGTACCCTGCCTCAACAAGGTGGAAGGAGAAGGAAATTTCAAAAGTTCTCTCTGACCTTTACATCTGTGCCGTGTACCATGCACGCCTACACACACACACACACACACACACACACACACACACACACACACACACACACAAATACACACACACACAAACACACACACACATACACACACACAAATACACACACAAACACACACACACACATACACACACACACACACACACACACACACACACACACACACACACACACCAAAATCTTCAAGCAAGATAAACATGGAAGTAGTATGAGGTGAGAGTTTGATTTAAAATACTCCAATTTCAGGGGAAGAAATGGAAAGAAGTATGTAAAGTGATCAAATTGGACATTTGGCAACTCGTTAACGTACGGGTTTATTATGCTATTTCTTGTCTCTTTTCGACTTGGAGATTTCCTAATAAAAGGATTTTTCTTCCCAGTTGTATGTTCTCAGCACTCTTTATTTTAACCCGAAGGAAAGCAAGCATCAATAAGGACTGGCATCTGACAAATGGCAGAACGCTAACAGTGCTCCCCGGCTGGTGTCCCCATGGTTTACGGGTGTACTGCGCAGTACGTCTGCTCTCTTACCTTCTCCTTGGTTCGAAGCTCGCTGAACATTTGCTGAATCTCCAGTTTCCAGTCTTCCTGCATGGAATGGAAAGACTCCTGGGGCATCTCAGTCGCCACCGCCCCTTCAATGGCAGTCAGCTGTTGAAGAATTAAGGCAAACGAAGGACGGATATGAGGGTCTTGTTCCCAGCATTCTGCGACAAATGAGAATCACATTACTTTCCCCTCTCAGTACGGCTAGGATGATCTCCAAGATGGCAGGCTTCCCAGTTTGACACTTGTCACTCTAAACCAGAAGCCCCTGTCTACAGTGTTGACTCCTGGAAATCTTAAGGGCATATCAGTGAGCGCCTGAGTGCCCGTGTCCCCGGTCCCAGGCACCCATGTCAGAGGTGAGCAGACACAGTGAGACCATCGGGCTTTTGCCTATATTAGCAGACACTTGATTCACAGATGCATGGTTTCAATGCTGAGGCCTAGCTGCTGTCGCAGAATTACATATCTATAAAATACAAGTCCCCAAGCCAACGTCTGAAGGATGTTATAATTACCACAGAAGTTCTAAGAAATAGATTAATGCTGGACACTGTGACACATGCCAGTAATTCCAACACTAGAGAGGTCGAAGCAGGATCCAGGTCCAGCCTGGATAACACGGTGAATTTGCAGCCAACCTGGGCTACAGAGTGAGTTTGAGGACAGCCTGAAATACATAATAAAGTTTCATCTAGGATGGGATACAGAGTGAGGTCAAGGCCAACCTGGTACACATAGCAAAACCCTGTTAAAAAAAAATCAAAAATCGAAACTGATGAAGTGATTCACAGCTCACAGACACAGGCAGCAAGCTTAATGATGAGGGTGGAATCAGAAGGTCGAAGCACAGCCACACTGCTGAGACCAGAAAGATGCTCATGATCACTATCTGGGACTTCAAATGAAGGCTTGGAGCCAGCTCGGGGCTGTGCTGTCTGCTGGCAGACAGTGGGACAGGGACAGGGAAGGCAAAGCACTGGGGGGCTTTAAGTTGCACAGCTGGAAATGCCAACGACTCACCTCTGTAGCAGAGGCGAACTTTTCAGAAAAGCACACTTAAAAGCAATTGGATTTTTTTTTTTTTTTTTTTTTTTTTTTTTTTTTTTTTTGAGACAGGGTCTCGTATTAGCCCAGGCTGGCCTGGAAACTCAAAGCAATTCTTCTGCCTCAGATTCTTGAATATTGAGATTACTGACATGTGAGCTACTGCATCCAGATTAATATTTCCTTTGCTTTTAAAATTCTATACAGTTATTTGTTTATTTATTCATTTATTTATGTGTGTGGGTTCAAGTGTACCATTGCATATAGTTAGAAGTCAGAGGACCACCTGTGGGAATCTGATCTCTTCTACCATGTAGGAATTGAACTCAAGACTGTCAGCCTTGGTGGTGAATGTCTTTATGTGATGAGCCACTCACTAGCACACATACTGCTTTAAAAATAAAATAGAAAATGTTACTGTTCCTATGCACGACTTTCCTTGACCCTAAACTCTTGAGATTGGGCCTGCACAATACCTTTCATGAGCTTTGCAAATGGCTCAGGGCAGGTGGATGGGATGGGCAGTGTGAGCTTGTTGACGGCCACCCCGTATGCCACAGCCAGTCCATCGATGCCACGGTAAGGGACCTCGCCTGTGAGCAGCTCCCACAGCAGCACCCCATAGCTGGAAAACAAAGTTCCCGTTAGTGACTTGGGCTCCAGAGCCTGCCCCACCCCTGGCTCAACTCCCTCTGGGATCAGCATTTCCAGCTGACCCAAGGCCACTGCTCTTCCAGGGTGGGAGGTGGCTCTGCCCCAGAACAGCTGGACATGATGGTACATACACACTTGCAATCCCAGCACTCAGGAGACTGAGGCAGGAGGATTATGAGCTCCAGGATACACAGTGCAACACTATCTCAAAAACTCCGCAGAAGGGTTCTGGAGAGATGGCTCAGCAGTTAAAAGAGCACTGGCTACTCTTCCAGAAGACTCTGGCCATATTCCCAGCACCCACATCACCACTCACAGCTGTTTCCAACTCTGGTCCTAGGGGGTCTGATGCCCCCTTCTGGCCTCCACAGGCACTGCATGCATGTGATACATGGATATACATACACTCAGGCAAAACACCCATACCGATACTTTTTTTTAACCCCCCAAAGATCTGTTACTCTAGAGCAGTGTTCTCAACCTTCCTAATGCTGTGACCCTTTAATACAGTTCCTCATGTTGTGATGACCCCTAACCATGAAATTATTTCATTGCTACTTCACAACTGTCATTTTACTACTGTTATGAATCATAAGGTAAATACCTGATATACAGGGTATCTGATATGTGGCCACAAAGGGTTCTCAACCCACAAGTTGATAACCGCGGTTCTAGATGATTCATTAGGCTTTACACTGACAGAGTCATAAGAGATACATTGTTGGGAGTTTTTGTGTTGCCCAGGCTACCCTCAAACCCTGGGCTGAGTGGATCTTCCGCTACAGCCTGCTGAGTGGCTGGCTATAGGTACACACCATTGTGCCTGCACAACTGGCAGTCTTGTTGGTTTTCACTTTTTATTTATTTGTAATTTAGCGTGCATCCAAGTGAGCACCGCAGCTTGCAAGTGGAAGTCAGAGGACAACTCGCAGGAGTCAGTTCTCGCCTTCCACCATCTGAGTCTCAGGGATTGGACTCAGGCTTGGCAGCAAGGGTCTTGACCCACAGAGCCATCACGCTGGTCTCAGCCACTTGTTACCCTCGCCAGTCAGGCATCTCTCCTTCTCTCCCACCTGGTGACTTTTAATGAAAATTTGGATCGTCTTTGCATAACTGAAACCAAAGTCTTGGTGGATTTCAGGTTTATCTGCCAGCAGTATCTGGAGGCTCTAAAGCTTGCCCTCGAACCACTTCCTGAATCCTCAGAAGCCTTTGGTAAAGTTTGTAGAAGGAGCTAGAGAAAGCCTAGAGTTCTGGAAGTCACTACCTCTAGTGGGACTCAAGATGAGGATGCTGAAGGAAATGTGGCCAGTAACCACTGTGCTCATGAGGACTCTGGCAGAAATCACCCTACAAACCACTTGAGTTACATTCCAGCAATGTCTACATTTTGCCCACATCCTGAGACTTTGAATGAGGCTGAAATTGGAAGGCAAGAGACTCAGTAATCTGAGAGAGAAAATTTCAACACAGCCTAACACTGGGGTTGTGGCATGGTTTATCACTGACTGCTTTCAGCAACTCGGATCAGGAGCAAAAAACAGTGGAAGTACTTTAAACGCTTGCAGTTTAGCCCAACAAGCCGCATTTGGTCCAGGCATCTATGAACAGAGACCTCCGAAACCCTGAGCCAAACCAAGCTTTGCTCCTTTAGCTTAATTATCCCAGAGTTCAGACCACAGGACAGAAAGCTGAGGGACATTCTTTGTCATCACATCTGTAGTTGGAATTTTCTTTGGGTCACCAACCAGCTCCCAAATAAAGACACAGAGACTTATTATTAATTATGAATGCTGGACCTTAGCTGAGACTTGTCCCACTAGCTCTTTTAACTTAATTTAACCTATTTCTCTTCATCTAGATTTATCCTCAGGGCTTTTTACCTTTCATTCATTCTGTACATCCTACTTTCCTGCTTCCTCTGTGTCTGGCTGGCTGGTTCCTGGTGTCTCCTTGACATCTTTTTCTTTCTTTTCTGAGCCTAAATTCTTCCTCCTACTTATTCTCCCTGCCCGGAAGTCCTGCCTACACCTCCTCCCACGCTATTGGCTGTTCAGCTTTTTATTAGACCAATCAGGTGTCTTAGGCAGGCAAGGTAAAACAGCAACACATCTTTACACAATTAAATGTAGCACATCTTTACATAGTTAAACAAATATTCCGCAACACACATCTGGATCAATACACTCACAAGCACTTTGCTATTTACCACAGAATCAGGAAGCCCTGCAGCCTCCATGGATCAAATACAACAACTCGTGGTTGCAGACAGACAAGGCAAAGGCCTATGCTCACCTCCAGATGTCACTGCCCTTGGAGAACAGGGAGGACCTGATGACCTCAGGAGCCATCCAGGCGTAGGTCCCTGCGGCACTCATCCTGGTGGTCCTGTGCCACTCCCTCGCCAGCCCAAAGTCCGTGATCTTCAGTGTCTTGTTGCAAATGTCATCATGTTCGATCTTCTCCAGCAGCAAAACTGCAGGGATAAGGGTGGGAAGGGTCTCAGCACATGGTTCCACTCCCAGCCCCAGTCTTCCAAGTCATCTGTTCTGTTATGCTTTATAGTCTGAATAGCAAAACTCTTTCCATTTACAAACTATTTTTGACCACAGATACTTGTATACAACACACCGTGATTGTATTCACACCTGCCTTCCACAATCTTGACTGGGCAGCCCAGGCCTGCATTCTGACTGCGGTACATACTCTACCCATGGCTCTCAGATGCATGTAAACAAGGAAAGTTGCCCCCAACTCCATTCTCTCCTCCTCTTCCTGCATGGGTCATGATTCTTCCTCTCCCCCTAGTCTCCTGAACAGTCCCCACCCAGTATGATCCCAGCACCCCATGGGAGCGGCCTTCCTCCTCCTCCTGGAATGATATCCAAGGGATCTGTTCCTGGAATGAGGCCACCCATGGGAGAAGTCACATGTCCATGATGCCTGGGCAGTCAAGACTGAGAACTCCCACTCACTCTGCAATGGTGCCCACTTGGTCAGTATGGCTCAGCCGGGCAGATGAAAGCAGAGGGGGCTCCTTGTCAGTTCTGTATGTTTTTTATTCTGTTTCACCAGGAGGGCACAGTGCTGAGCCTGACAGGGAAACCCCACCCCAGCTTCCTAGCAAAAAGAATGATTTTGGAAGGGAGAAGTCCAGTTTAAAAATGCAGTTTTCGTGGTACTGTGAGATGTGAACATAATATTGTCAGCTCTTTCAGGTAAACAAAATAAAATACACTCTCATGGTAGCTGCCAAAGTCAAGGAGAATGAATTTGCCTTCTGACACTTTATTTAGCTTACAGCAGTGCACAGCCATGACCAGGTAAAGTTCTAAGAAAATCTTCCAGCATGGTGCAGCTTCCACAGAAAGCAAAGGATTCTTAGGGGCAAGAGCCTTTTATCAGGATATCTCAGTTAGGATCAGTTATCAAAGACAACACAGCAGGAAAATTAAATGTTCCACTCCAAGAAATTCCATCCTAATCAAAGCAGAGTGTCTTTCCTGCTGGATGCACGAGAGATCGCCACCAATAGATGACATATTAACATAGCTCATTATCAAACATCTTCTGCAAAGCTCTCACAGACGTCTGAACCCATGGAGATAATTTGCGAGATACCATGACTTCATGAAATTGGAAATTCAGAAGGCAAACTCATCAGAGGCAGACCACCCAGTTCAGCCCACAGTTGCTGATGCCTGCCCATCTTTTTTTTTTTTTTTTTGTGCTGGGGTGTTAGTTTTTCTTTTATCTAGCATTTCTCTGTGCAACTACATATAAAACTTAACTCCAGAAACTATTGTACCATTCCTCCAAGTGCCCACAGCAACACTGAACTCTGTAAGCCTCAATATATGCTGGGCTAGCTCCAGCAACGATATAGCACCCATTTCTAACAGTAAAAATAGCGTCAGCCATCTCCCACTGAGCAGAGCTGTTTCCACACAGTTCAGCTCTTAATGTGCCAGTCAGTCAGGGGAGAATTAAAACTTTCGGTTTATAGCCTTAAAATGCCACCCAAGATCCCAGGGCTACACACAGAGGTGTGCCTGTATGGAAGATCTCTAACATCCTCCAGTCATGCCATGTTGTCCCAAGGAGGCAAGGCAACCAAAAATGCCTGCTGACTGCATGGGTGCTTAAACAGTACTTCCTGTAAGCTAAAAGCCTATTTTGTCCTTGTGAATTTTAAGAAAAAATAAATCCTATTAAAAAAGAGATGCAGCTCCTGATCCTTTAAGTGGGTACTCTTAAGCACGGAAACAAACACCAATGATTAGCTCCTTCACCAGGTTCCATTCTCCCCTACCCCCTTACACCATCACTAACTTCATTTGCAAGGAATAATAATGATCCTTCTGCAAAGGCCCAGGCATCACAAAGGCTTGCCGTTCTGTAAAACTGATTTCACGGGACTCTCTTCCACTTACTACCTCATTCTTGTAACAAGCGGACAGGAAGGTGTGGTCTGCATGAGAAATGACCGCCCACAGAACCATGTGCTTCAACTCTCGGTCCTGAGCTGGCAGCCCTGTTTTGGAAGGGGCGGGCCTTGAGGCTTGATCGCTCGGCCCCACTTCCGGTTCACACTCCTGCTCTCTGACCACGGACAGAAAGTGACCTGCTGCCTCACACTCCTGCCGCTGGGCTTTCTGCATCATGGTGGAGTTGATCTGTCTCCATATGAACCAAAATAAACCCGCCGCCCCTGAAGGGCCTTATCTGGAATCTGATCACAACAATGAGAAAAGTCACAATGCGGACGACGCAGCAGCAGCAGCAGCAATGAAAGCGGACCTCGAAATAGCCTTGTCCCCGGATCCACACCACATGTGATGGCCAGAGCATGGACTCCTGAACACAGGAGAGCAGCTGGGAGGAAGAACTGGGCTCCGGCCAGCAACAAGCCAGCTTCCTTCCTACGCAGGCAGGAGGGTGGTTTGTGCAATTAGCAGTTGTCCTGTCACAGTTCAGAAGCCAGCCTCTCTTTCCCCGGGTCCAAAGTTCCCCTAGCAACTGGCACTGCACACTCCAGACCAACACAAAACAAGTTAAAATAACACCTCGGTACCAACTGCAGGCCAGGGCTCCATGAAAGGCCCATTGTGTGGGACTCCGTTTCCAACTGGCATGGCAGAATTCCTGAAATTCCTTATCTTTAGGGCAATGTGACCGAAACCACAACTTGCCACCTCAAAAGGTAAATTAGACCTGGGCCTCCCTCCAAGTCTCGCCAGGTTTCAGGTGCACACAGGTTGGGCCTACTTCACTTCCGGTCCCCCCAAGTAGGAACGGCCATAGATAGGGCTGGCCGTCTGGATCAGAGCCGCATCAAGCAGGTGGGCTTTCTGGCCTCAGAAACGTGAATTCTCCTTAGCAGCCGAGCTGTGAGCCTTCGCAGATCTTCTCTGAGACTGCAGCTAGAGCTCTCGGCCTTGTCTGTGGGCTCCGTTCTTCAGCACCAGGCCTTAGGCTTGGCCACCCACCCAACCATGAGGCGGAGAGTCCTCCAGCCTCTCTGAAGTCTCCTCTTGGCCTTTGTGAATTTGTTGGCATGAAGCATTTTTTAAAGCAATTACAGCATACCCATTCTGTTTTCTCCAACATTTATGGGGTCACTGAATCCAGACTCCATTCTATCTGTGAGACAGATGGGTCTCAATTAATCTTTAACTAGGAATGTATTATTTAAAAAAAAAAATCAACAAGTAGAGAAAAGGGACAAAGTAGAACACATTTACAAGCACCATTAATCTCGGTCTAGGGTCACAAGGTCACCTCACGAATGTCCATTTTGCACACGCTAGGGGGCACTGGGTGTGGGGCGGAAGGGAGCTGTCTATATTTACTATACCATCCTTGTCTTTCTTCTCATCTCGTCCTGGTCCCCGAGCCATGGAAGAAGGTCCTGAGTCTGACCTGGTTTTCAAGTCTATCTGCCATCCTTTGACATGATCTTTCCAGCTCTTTCTTGTATTCCCCACACAAACCCCACGTTCTAACAATTCTGGTATCCAAAGTCATTGCAAATTTTAAAACAAAATAAAAAACCACAGCATCGTCTCCATGTCCCCACCTCCCAGCACCTGCTCACTGTGTGAAAACCCTCCAACAATAAGCCAGGCTCTCTGAACTCCTCACGGAGCGGGAGCCATCATCTTTGGGATCCCGACTGGATCCTGCTTCAGCATTGAAGAATTTATAAAGAGCCCTTTCAGCTGGGCGATAGTGGAGCACGCCTTTAATCCCAGCACTGGGAAGGCAGAGTCAAGCAGATCTCTGTGAGTTCGAGGCCAGCCTGGTCTACAGAGCAAGATCCAGGACAGGCACCAAAACTACACAGAGAAACCCTGTCTCGGAAAACAAAAACAAACAAACAAAAAAGAGCCCTTTCCTAGTGCCTTCCCCCTAACTTGATGGAAGGTTCTCTCTTCTCTTCTAACAATTAATTTTTATTGTATATGTCAATGTTCTGTCCACATGTATGTATGTGCACCATGTACCTCCCCAGTGCCCTCAGAGGCCAGAATAGGGAGTCAGACCCCCTGGAACTGGAGCCACCTTGTGGGTGTTGGGAACATGGCAACTGGACCTGGCATGTTCATGTATTTTGTTGTGTCTTTGTTGGCTGAATGGGTAACCAAATAACCAAGACTGTGTGTGAGAAATGGTTGGGAGGAAGGAAAATTATCATAAGCTCTGTCACCTTATATCACCTGCCAAGTGTAAAACCACTCACCTCTGCCCTCCTGAGAAAGGATCACACCCCAGTCACAAAGGAAGAGGCTGTAAAAATAATCACAGCCAAGCAGGTGTCCTCAGAGCACACTGCTCCCAGAAGTCTAGCCCCAGTCCCACCTCCGCTGGCCTTAGAGAACCCCTTCTCCGCCTTGCTTCACCTCCAAGCTATTCCTGCTTGTGTCCTCTCTTCCCCTGGCTCTCCTGACTCCCTTCTTTCCCTCATTCTGACCCATGGACTTTTCACTCCAACCAGGGCCCTCTGCATCTGCTCTCACACTGTTGCCTGTGACATCCAAAGAACTGAAAACATATACACGAGACCACACACAGCTTTGTTCAAACCCTCCTGTGACAAGTCAAAGCTTTGCAGACCCCAAGGGTTCAGACAAGCCTTCTCTTCTCTCCTTTTCACTCCCTCCCTCCACGCCAACTTCCTGCTAAGAACCTTGACATAGCTTCCCTCCTCCCCTCCCACAAGAACACAATTCAAGACTTGGGATTTTCCTAAAAGCCCACTCTTTGGGAGAACAATCTAGAACATTGCAGCCCATCCTGACAAAAGCACATTCTCTTCGCTTTCCTTGAGACAGGGTCTCACTTTGTAGCCCAGGCTGGCTCTCCTGCCTATGCTAGCGTGCCCAGCTTTCTTGCTGTTGTTTTGTTTTGACAGAGAGTCTTACACTGGGCAGCCAAGGCTGGCATAGAATTCACCATTGTAGCTCAGGGCCTTTT